GGCGGGGGGTCATTGGACGTCTGCAGCATTTGGTCGTCATGCATGCCTTTAAATCACAGATATGTGTGTGCGAGCCTGTAATTGTCTGCTTAACCCACCACATTGTTTGCAGTTTTACAATGGCTTTTGTGGCTTTTTTCTTTGAGGACGGCAACCCACAGGGACAATCGAGCTGCCGGGTCCGAGCTGCCGTGGCGTGCCGTGGGGCTGACGTGGCTGCACAAAGAGATCACAGTCAGCAGAGGTCAGCATAAAGTAGACAGATTTACAATCATCATTCGGACAGATGGCAGGGCCAGAGCTGCTTCTGATGTCAGAGCTTCCAGCGGGAGAAGTTGGTTGGAGTGAGCTTTTGTTTTAACGCACGTGTAAGGACGGGTTCTTTTCACTTATTTATAGTTTGGCCACTGGAAGGCTTATCAAACCACATCTCCACTCATTTCTAACCACGAGGCAGAAACGAACACGGTTCACGGCTCGTTTATGTACCGTTTGTCTGATTGTGTGAAATGGAATGCAGATTTCTGGGAGGGGACTTTCTGGGTGGGTGGATGTAGTGGGGGGCGGGGGGACTTTGTGGGGTCATCTCAATTTGCCAGAAGGTGGAGAGGTGGTGGTGGTGGTGGTGGTGGAGGGGTTGATCCCAAGTTAATCCATCACTCACTGGCTCTCATGGTGCACTAAAGTGGGGTGAGGGGCTGAGGCCGCATTTTCTCTCCTTCTCGTTTCACACTCATCCTGCACAAGCAGTGCTTTCTCAGACCCCAAATAAATAAATAAATAAATAAATAAATAATATATAGTACAAATAAATAAATAAATAATATACAGTTCAAAGCAATGAAGTGTCTTTCTTTGCTCCTTTTTTCCTCTCTAGCATCTCAAAATAAGGAATTTAAACTGCAAGAAATACCAGATAACTTTTTTTGTGCTTTTGTTACAGAAATTTGGGCTGATAAATAATGATCAGAAGTCAAATTTTGAAGGTTCAGAAGCTAATGCAACAATTTTAGTCACATTAAAGATGAACATTATTAACTTGAAACTGATGGTTTTAATTTCATCAGGCCTCAGTGCACTTCTTGTCACAAGTGTGCATAATTTAATACCAACTTTTTTTTAATTTATAGATGTCTTTGGAAATTTCATTCAAACCGGACTGAGAGTTTTGCAACAACTAATTTTTCCTCCTTTGCTCGACACGTTTTCTCCCCTTTACACCCACCGCTGCCTCTGGGACAATGCAGCCAATTAATTAACGTTGGTGTCCAGCCGAGAGCACGGAGAGCCTAGAAAGCCCTGACATCAGCTGATTTAGCTCCTGTGTTAGGCCCATTATGGAGAGCCTTTAGAGAAAGAGAGGCTTTGCTTAAGGGCTGACCTTGTGTGAGCTAAAGAAAACCAGAAGAAGACAGACAGCAGCTCTTGACTGAGCGTGCTCCTGGTGAGGGCTGTTTCAATGCTTTTCCTCTGCTGCTTGTGGTTGGAGAATGAGAGGAGTGGTAATGTGGGATGTGAGCTGGTTGCAGTGGTGCAGTGTGAGGACACCCCCCCCCACACACACACACACACACACACACCCCATGCACGCACTCCTGCAGCTGACTAAATCATAAGGTTCCCGTGTGATTCCCGTCTTTGCTTTTCATAACAAAGGACCCATATCGCTGGGAAGTGACAAAGCAAACAAATGGGGCTAATTATGGGGTTGATAAGGACGTTGGAAGGAAATGGGGTCGTTTCTGATAATATTTTTGTTATGAGATGAGCATGTGTGGTACAAATTAATTTCCAAAAGGAGTCTTTTTKTCTGCTTTTTCCCCTGAAGCTGAAACCTGGACTTGTTTGACATTGAGAAAAAGTTCACTCTGTCTTTTTTTTTAACTCTAAAAACAAAAATATACGATCAAATGCCAGATCTGTATTGATATTTAGATTTTTACCTACRATAAAGACTTTTACCCCATTTCAGCCTTCCATAGTATTTATTTATTTTTTGACTTTACTTTTATTATTATTCTCTGCACAGTCAGGTCAAGTTGTTGGCTTCAGATGAAAGCTGGGTTGGAAAATGAGGACTAACCAATGCAAGATGATTGTCCTGTCTCCCAGAAGAGACTAAAAGTCTGGGCTAAAGAAAAAGACAGCTGGACAGAGTAATGGATGGAGATAGGGTTTTCCTCTTTATTTTCTATTCTTGGATTTTTTTTCTATGGATTTTTCTCAGCACTTTTTCCTAATTGTTACTTTCACCAGTTGTGTCTTGAAGAGAAGAGATGTTGGTGGATTTCTGGATGGTGTTTTAAGATTTAGGTTTAGGTTTTGATTTAAACAATTGATCAGTCTTATATGACCTCAGCTGTGTATTTCTGTCAACTTTACAGATATATGGATAGCGTATGGTTAGGGTATGAGGTGGTCTGTGGCAGATTTGTATCAGAAAACACTGCCATCAATTTAATTCGTCAAAAACAAACGATACAATGTGATGCTATTTGGCACTTTTATCACATTAAAATGTGACTCAACATGAGTTTAAATCAACACATTGAGTTTTAATGCAATAAATGTCAACAAAACACAATTAAATATGACTTTAGTATTAAAGCCTTCCACTTTGTGTGCAAAAACAGAATTTTATTTATACACARATAAATCAACAATAAATTGAAAATCTTCATGATGCATTTACATCTTTACATCCTGACAGACATTCACCTTAGTTTCATGGTTTTTATGGTTGCAATAAYTAACTCTTTTTGATAATTGTTTAAATTACCTGCTGAAAAAAAATGTCATTATAGTGTTAGGCAAAATCACATCTTGTGCAATATCAGAAAAACAGTCAACAACTAGACATGGGTTTTTACGATATAAAAACAAGCGTGCATTGCCATGTAGCATGGCTTTGCCTGCAGCATTGGACTTGCAGAATGACCTTTGAACAAGTTCAAATGTGTTTTCTATACCAGCTTGTGCCTGTCACATCAGCAGGTGTTTGTARTTAAGGTAATTGAGTGACAAKATGAAGTTGGAAGAGATTTGTTGTTAAAGTTGCATTAGCTGGTTTTTGAACCCTGATCTCCCACATGAAAGTCCATGACATAGACCATTAGACCAATGGAGCTTTGGCAGAAGGTGGCGGCAGGGGTTGGTTTGTTTGTGTGCAGAAAGAGGCCACATTGCCAATGCAATTGTTGACACAGAAATGCATAATATTAAAACAATAGAGTAATATTAGGACAATATTTTAGTAAAACATCAAAACACAATCATAATAGTATTGTAATCACTGAACTACTGAGTTTAAATATTATGGTTCAATACTGAGTATATACAGCAAGGGGCAGTATTGGACCAATACAAGGCTCCATTGACTGACATTATATGATTTTAAACATTAATATTTCAAAAAGTATAAGTTGTGCAGGCACCAAAAGGCATAGCCATCATTTGGCACATGAGCTTTACAGATATAAATTACAATGGCAGCTCTAGGACAAAGTATGCAGGAGGAGAAGCGTGCCAAAGTGAACATGACTTGCATGGGAAATGAATCACAATAGTGTGCATTGCATTGGCAATGCACACTGATTAATATCAACCACTTTGCAATTACTGCAATTAGTGCCACGTGATGACATATTCTTGTGTCCGACACCGTCGCTATCTGTGTGATCCCAGTGGTGGGAGGCAGCGTGGAGCAGCTAACGCTAACCCTAAGAATTTGTTTAATCACCTGAAACAGACCCAAACTGGGGTATGAGGAAAGCCAGAAAATGTGGCTGCATGCGAGTCAATTATTATCTATTAATCATRTTTATTGTTATCAGCTGAATGCCACAATTATTCATGATAAGTTTTATGCCAATATTATGAAACACTAATTTAGTGTCTGAATGAGGTTTTTGTGAGAATGCAAACATCAGATTGGACTTTGTGTGGAGTTTATTCCACCTGATCCAACTAGAGTTTGCAAAACAAACTGATTTGTGAAAAGCAGGMGTTTAACATTATGCAAAGTTTTACAGTTTGGTTAATAATAGAAAATTACAATAAATCATCCAGTTAAGCTGAACTGAACTCTCAGCAGAGCTGACGTCCGTCCAGCTGACTGCTCCTGAACAAATGTTGTTTTCTCTTATTAAAGGTAATTTGAAAAGTCYCGGTAGAAAACTTTTTTCTTTTTTATAAATTCTAGTGGTGCTTTCATAAATGATTTAGAATGTTTGCATTTCTCCAGACCATCATGAGAGATGACAAAAGATAATTTAATGTTGAGACAAAGAGGGAAAACTGTCCAACACAAGATCCAAACTCAGGCCGCCAAGAAACGATTTATTTTAATAAAACACATCAAGGACACAGCGAGCAGGAAACTCTTGAAATGAACAAGGAAGGAAATGAAAACAAGACTTGACACGAGGACATGAAAATCTATAGAAACACCTGGAATCATCATGAATAATGAGGAAGTAAATGTCTGACATGGAATCAACAAACTAAGACCTGGTGGGTGATATGCTCAAGATAAGACAAATAGTTTCTGCAGACAAACTCCACTTCTTTTCAAAAAAGTTACACTTTTAACACAGTTTACATCACAACATCCAGTACGTCACTGCTTACAGTTTCCTCTCAAATCCACTCATCAAAACTCTCATTAACCTCCACTGGACGTGAAGTTAGAAGTTTCCCTTCAAAACTGGACTTTTCTTCCTCTTTTATTCCGTAGCGTCTGTCGCATGACGGCCACTGCCTGCAGAAATCACAGAGCTGCACGCTGGAAACCTTCAGAGGGGAAAGATGGTGTTAGATTTCCGAGCGGGACGTCCAAAGTGGCGAGAGGGGAAATTAAATTAACTCAGAGCTCTGATAATAAACAAGGTCAGCGAGAAAATAAAGAGTGAAGCGATCACAAACAAAGATAGTGGGGGAAAAAAAGGCACAGACTGCTTCGATTTAAGGGAAAGAAAAGCAGCAGTTCATGTTTGAGTTGCCACCCAAGGCAGGTGACCTCATAGGAAATGACACCTAGCTTGGCAAGCACAGAGGATTTGAAAATCTATCTCAGTCACTTTTTGTTATCAGCAGCTGTGAGCTGCACTAAAGGATATTATTATGTGTTTTATTTGCCTTTTTTTTAACCACCAGATGATTTTTTTGAAATCRGACTCAACAGCTGAGTTGCATATCTGACCAGTTCAAGCACCAATAAAARTGATACGCATGCACGCACATGTTCKTCTCACACTCTGAAAGGTCCAACTCTGTTTGGCCTCTTGCTCCTGATTTAGATTAAACCCAAACTCGCTTCAACCTTTTCCAAGAAAAATAAAAGATGCAGGAGCTGCAGCGACAGCGGTGATGGCTGCTGGCGTCGCGGTCCGTTTGTGACCCACTGCAGACAGAACCCAGAATACATTGAGTGTTCCAAAGACAAATTATTTCACCCTGTGAATG